TTTGAATTTAGTCAGGGAGTCCCACAGATTAAAATCGTATCTTCATAGCAAAGCCTGCTGGTTGGAGATATGTAGTTAAAGACTGGTCTGAGGGTGGCTTCCATGAGGATAGCCTTCAGCCTGATGTCCCTGTCCTTTTTATTGTGGGGTCTGAAGTCCCAAGAGATCTGGCACTTGTCCCTCACCTGGGTTTCCCCCAAGCACTTCAAGCAGCTAGACTGCAGGTCACTCACGGGCATAGGTTTGCCACAAGAGGAACAAGGCTTGAAGCCTGGGGACTGGGGCATGCCCAGCCCCTGAGGCAAAGAAGTCCCTCGATGATAGGAACTAACTATATACACTAACTCTACCAGTAAAAACTATATAAACTAAACTATGATAACTATGAACGAAGGAGGAGTCCAAAAATCACTAGGAAGAAGCCTTGCCACAGTAAGAAGGGTCATTCCAGCAACTGTCACGGGCGGTAAGAAGGAACTGAGAGGGTGAGGGCTGGCGGTGCCTCTTATACTGGTGCATAAGCGCATGGCTCCAGAGGACACCAGAGCCAGCTGAATGGATACCACTGAGGGAAAAATCTCTGTCAACAGTGCATGCGGCACGCACACACCTAACATGGAATGTATATGAGCAAGCACTTGAAGAACAGTCCAGTCAAAATGTATTTTAATTTATACATACATCAAAAATGCTCATTCATTTACAACTGTGAAGCAGAACTGATCATCCAAAGCTAGTGAGATTAATAAAGGCTGTGTATGCCATAAAGAAACAGTTTTGCTACTTAAAGATGGCAATCTGAATTATGAACAAACTACTGCACAAGATAGATAAATTTCTTATCTCTCTGGAGAAATGACCCATCAAGTCATTCCAATGCTGTATAAATGGGAGATGCAGGGAGAAAACAAAACAAAACACAAGACTGCATCTGTATGTTCTGAACTATTTAAGTGTGTGATTTAATTCTGTCTCAGCTGGTCAAGTAGTGATTTCTCAAACAGCGGTTGCGACATATGCTACTTCAGAAATAATCCACAAGGATTCTTTTGATGGACATGAGTCTATAGTGTTGAGAGCCTCAACTTCAGTGCCCATACGAATAACTTCACATCAACTTATTGACATGAAGAGGAGTGAGGAAGCCCTTCTGCAATTCACATTGTCATAATAAATTACATCAGCTGTAATTCTCTGATTAGACATCAGCATGTCTTATGTAAACAAAAGTGAAGAAGGGATGGGAAAAGAGAATTCTACTTTGGAAACAAATACAGAATCTGATTCTATGGGTAGAATAATGCCTGGCACTTCCAAAATCTTTTCATCTAGTTGGGAAAGCAAACTCTGCCAGAAAACAGGCTGAGTAGGATATCTGTTCATTAGGGGAAAATGGACTTTAAGTCACAGAACTATCGATCTATAGAGCAGCGTGGGTGTCTTCCTCTTTGTTTTGTGAATGCTGCCTTGATCTCCTGGATGTAAGATTTGGACTAGCTGAGTCTATTTATTTCCTTTTGTGATACTTCTATACAAAATGGTACAGAAGACTTAACAGGAAAGGTTTTGCTATTCTAGTGGCACCCTTGCAAGTCAGGGAGGTGGAGGTTCCATCTGTGTAGTCTGTGACTATGCTACGGCGTTACACCGGCATAGCTATGGAGCTGTACCTGTGCCACTGTAGCGCCCGTATAGTAGACATGGCCTCGAACTGAGCTAATGCCATCATGAACATACAGAGAACATGTGGGAGCTGTCTAAGTAGCTGTTGCTAGTGTGGTGAGGGGAGGGAGAAAAGCCAGCCACTGCCCTCTCCAGGACTCATCATATAGGCTCCTTTGTGGGCATCACATGGGGCAGGAAACCCATACCTACAGGGGCGGGAGAGAAGGTAAGAGAAGCCTTGCTGGACTTCCTCCCATAACTTTCCACCCATGTTCTTACCACCACACTGGGGGTTCCATATGGAGACAGAGATCCCAGAGGTGGGGAAGAGAGAGGCCAGGCTTCCTTCAATCATCCCCAAGACCCATCATGTGGTGCTGGTGGCCAATTTCCCCTCTGGGAGTGAAGCACTGGGAAGTTAAGAAATGCCAGAATTAAGGTTGCCTGAGCAACTCTAATTCACCTCCCTTGTGTGTATACATTATGATAGTCTTGATTACATTACTACATTCTATTATTCAACAGGACATCCTTCAGTGGCTAGGATGGATTCACAAGAAGGCAAAATTAATAAGACGCCCCTACACCTGGCATTTCTTAACTTTCAAGTACTTGACTTTGCAACCTAAATGAAGTATTTTTAATATAGTTCTTTTGTATTTAATTAACTATTTACAGTGTTAATATAGGATTGTTGTAATCTGCACTATCTGCTGTTCTATGATCTGTTGTGGCAATTAAAATCAGAGGCATTGGGACTGCTCACTATCCCAATGTAATATCAAGAGGACAAGAGGAAGGCCGTATGTCTGGACTGTCCTCCCCCTTGATATAATGGTTGCTGAGCAGGGTCAAGCCTGGGGTAATAATGACCAGCAGTAAAGTAAGGAGAAGAAGATCTAATCCTTCTCTCTGTTAGACTCAGAGGAAAAACTCCCCCTCCTCTGCCTGACTTGGAGAGTTTGGCATTTCCAGAAGTCATCTCGGGCTAGGAGGTGAGGGCTCAACAGCTAGGGGAATTGAAGCGGAAGCAACAGGAGAGTTGATGGCTGTTTGAGTCATTTCTGAGGCCCCTAGCCTTTCAACAGTAAAGCATCAGCATCTTTGGGGTTGCAGAGAATGTATGAAGATGAGATGCCCAAGCCAGGTGTCTCCTCTCTGTCTCCTCTCCTCTAAAGGAGGATCTGTCCCTCCTCCAGTTTCCTCTCTTCTTTGGAAGAAAGATAAATCTAATACACAGGTTATACAGAGATTGTACATAAAATCTCTTAAAATACTGTAAAGTCTTCTAAAATGCAGGACGTTTCCTTCCTCCAAAAAAACAATTTTTTCCAGAACAAACTCCCAGGCACTTCAGTTTTATTTGTTTTTTATACTAACACAATTTCCACATCCTGGTCAAGTCAAAACAATAATATTTTTAGAAATGGGCCTACTCAGCTGCACACATTTATGTACAAGCATGCCTACACGCTCTTTGTTTGGCTGGCCATGGAACTGCTACTTGAGGCCACTGTCTTCAGTTACCTTGTTATTTTGTCCTCATTCTCTTCCCTTTACTTTGGCCCATCATTGAAGATGAAGCAAGGCCACATCAGCACACACCACTGAAACTTATGATGACAACCACTGGTGAGTTGCCTGGTTAGTATTTTGATATACTTTCACCAAACTACCACTACTCCAGGCAACACAGCATATGTCTGCTCCCTATCAGCCCACAGTTACCCACAAAATAATGTTCTGCTGCCCCCAATATACTTCATCTGTTCTACCTATTTTGCCAAACAGGCTCTGATTCTGAGAATTCCTTCTGTCTTTTGTGCTCTCCATTTGTTTACTTGGCTTCTCAGTTTCAATATATTTTCCAGAATCTTCCATGAAATGTAAGCCATCTTGGCTCCTAATTCTCCTTCCCCATCTGCTTCTTGTTCCTTGTCTCTCACCTCTTCTTCTTCATCTATTCCTGTTTCCTCTCCATCCACTATGCTTTGAACCCAATTTATTAGCTCACACGTATACCCATCCCCAATACAGATAGTAATGTAGAAGCACTATTCTGGCTGTTTTCACTCACCCAGTCAGTCACTGCTTCCAAGGCAAGTTCAAAGATTTGACTCCTTTTTGAAGATAATGTTAGTTATCCCTGTCATCTGATGAGTTCACAAAATAGTTACTTTTAAGTTCTATGAAACAAGGCAATAGGTCTCCTGGAACTCCAAATAGTAATGTGGCACTGCTACGTGGGGCAGCATAAATATCAGGCATAAAATTGAGTGCACAGAGATAGTGTTCATGCTTCAGAATGTGATTTCACCAAATTATATCAAGAAATAAACTATATAATCTATCCCAGTCACCTGTACTAATGTAATTATTGTAATTTGTTAGCTTTGGGATGAACATTAAGAGTTTCAGAACAAAAAAAAAGATGGTTGTGTTACAAGTGAGACGTGAATTGCGCATATAAACTAAATTAAATTTCTATGGGAAAACAAAATAAATGTTATGCAACAAAGAGAAAGGAAGTTGAAAGACTTCACCATTTAATCTAAAAGCATTTTTGCCATAGATTTGAATGTCACCTCTTTATAAAAAAAAAGAATCAAAGAATATAACATTTGTAATATTAACAAAGGAATTATTAAAATACATTTCTTAAGAGCACTATTGTATTACCTGTCCTTTTCTGCCTAGCAAATTAAGATCTGAGTAAAACATGGGCACAGGAGTCTGTGCTAGCAGACACTGTGACACAAGATTGTGACCTTGTTTACTTGATGACTACATTCTGAAGCCAGCGGCACAAATCACAAAGTACAGCAGGAAATATAATACTGAAACTCAGTAAATTATCTTTATTTGTTTTTTATGAATCTGTCTAGTGTAAATGAGTCACAGTTTAATTAGCTCATAATTTAATTAAAAACTAAGCTTTTATTAAATCAATTTCTTGTTTGTTGTGAAAGATTTCTTTTGTGGCAAAACTAATTTGGTGTGCAATAAAAATTTTTTAAATGCAAGCTTGTTACTAGAATAATCCCAAATTAAACTGATCACACTCAGTTTTAAACACTGCAATGACTAGCTAAAGCACACAGGGCAAGCAGCAGCAGCAGAGAAAATGCATTAAATTCAACTAGTCTCATAAAAATTTAAACCTTACATGCAAAAAAGTCAAAAGTGACTTAAGGTAGGTTTCTTTCTTTTAATGAAACTAATAGGCACATACTGTAGTACTATAGCCATTTAAATTTATACACAAAAGATAAAGTATGGTGCTTGACACCCCATAAATACCATAGATAAGGCAAGAAAAGCAGAATTCTACTTACGGATATGATTCTGAAAGTTGCTGAGCTATTTTATAAGCTGCTGGGTCTCTGTCTAGTGCATATATTGTAATATCAGTTACTTTCTGTAGAAGAGCTGTAGTATGACCTCCTGCTCCAAACGTCATATCAAGCATACGCTGTTGAATGCAAAAGAAATAATACTGTTACTTAATAATATAAGGTAAAGAAACCTACTGTTGATTTAAGCCTTTTCTAGTTAACCTCTCTAATATGGTGTGGAAGAATAAATATTAAATCCATTTCACAAGCTTTTTTTGAAAACATTTTAAAGCAATTTTCATTGAACATGCTTCGAAGAATAGAGCAAACCAATTCACATTTATTTTCTTTTGCTCAGATTGTGATCCCACATGGAGGGGAGCCTCTATGCACAAGATGAGATCAGTCACTTCTCTGCAACATCATATCTCCCCTTTCCCCTTCCTCCTGACTTCAAAGGAGGTTGAAGGGTCTAAGCACTTCACAGGATTTACTCAGCAACATGTAAGACTGTGCTTAAAAGGAAGGATGATGGGTATGTACAAAGCACCAGTGGTTCACAACTTCTTTTTTGGATCCCAACTTGTGATGGGCTGGCAAATGAACTCCCTTACAAGCTGCCCCCACACATCACATCCTGCCACCTCTAAAGCTGTCTCGTCTCTTTCCACTTTTCTGCATCTGCTTTATATTTCCCTTTTCATTTTTTCCCTAAGTATATTTTTCCTTTTTGCACCATGCATCCCTCTCCTTTTCTCTTGTTGCACCTTTTCTTATTTCTCATTCAAAGTCTACACACTGCTTGGGTTTAGCTGCAATGCTAAAGGTTTCCTTTAAGCTAAGTAGAGTCCTATAGAAGAAAAAGAAAATAACTGATGTTTGGACCAGTGGTCTGTAGCTTGTACTTGTATCCCTTCTGTACTGAACATGTGAACCGTTCCGAAATTCGGAGCTTCCAGAAAAACAGGAAGGAAAAGTTGGTAGTTTTCAAGGAACTGCCTATCTAAAGGAGCACATTTACAGAGACACTGTAATCCAGGCACTGTCTATACACTAACGTTAGGAGTCTGGGTAGCAAACAAGATGATTTGGAATTGCTCATTTATAAGCATAAATTTGATCAAGCTGGTATTACTGAAACCTGGTGGGATGATTCCCATGACTGGAATTTTAAAATCAATGGTTATGAGCTATTTAGGAAGGATCAAGAGGGCAAAAAGGAGTGGGGAGTAGTATTCTATATAAAAAATGGACTAACCTGTTTCCAAGTCACTGATAACTCAGAAGAAAATTATCTTGACTGATTATAGATCAATGTCTTAACAGATAAAGCAGAAGATGGGGTATTAGGGTATGTCTACACTGGCAGAGTTACATCGCTGGCAGTGACAGCACCACTCAGAGAGTGCTGAAGGGAAACCACTGTTGTGTGTTCACACTGTCAGCTGCATGCGCAATAGCATGTTCACATTTACAGCACTTGCAGTGATATTCGGAGCGGTGCACTCTGGGCAGCTATCCCACAGAGTATCTCTTCCTCTTCTGCCGCTAAGAGTTGTGGGAAGGCAGAGGAGGTCACGGGGCATCCTGGGTCCTGTCCCGATGCCCGTGATGCATTGCTTCACATCCCAGCAATCCCATCCTGTGCATCCGTCCGCATTTGGCGTCATCTTTCAACAGTTTGCGGACTGCGTGCTCTGCCTCTTCGTTCTGCAGGAATGGATCCCGCACTGTTGACCACTATGCTGCTCGCTCTCACTCACACGAGCGGCAGTGGAGTTATTCCTTAAACTACAGAGGCAAGAGCAGTTCAATATTGATCTCGCCACGCATAGTAGCTATGACACAGAGGTGCTGACCACAGTGGAACATAACTTTTGGGCTCAGAAAACAAGCACTGAGTGGTGGGATCACATCGTCATGCACGTCTGGGATGGCAAGCAGTGGCGGCAGAACTTTCGGATGAGGAAAGCCACATTCATGCGACTGTGTGATGAGTTCACTCAAGCCCTGCGGCGTAAGGACACGAGAATGAGAGTTGCCTTGTCACTGGAAAAGCGCATGGCGATTGAACCGTGGAAGCTGACTACTCCAGACTGCTAACCAGTTCGGAGTGGGAAAGTCGACCATTGGATTCGTGTTGATGGAAGTGTACAGGGTCATTAATCGCATCCTGTTCCGAAAGACTGTGACTCTGGACAACATGTGTGACATTGTGGATGGCTTTGCACAAATGGGCTTCCCTAACTGCAGAGGAGTGATAGATGGCACACATATTACAATTCTGACACCAGACCACCTAGACACCGAGTATATTAATCAGAAGGGGTATTTCTCTATGGTTCTCCAGGCGCTTGTGGATCACCATGGGCATTTCACAGACATTAACGCAGGCTGGTCCGGAAAGGTGCATGACTGATGCATCTTTCGGAACACTGGCCTGTTCAAGAAGCTGCAAGCAGAGACTTTCTTCCTGGACCAGAAGATCACCATAGGGGAAGTCAAAATGCCCCCTGTGATCCTGGGAGACCATGCCTATCCCTTAATGCCATGGCTTTTGAAGCCATACATGGGGCACCTTGAAGGCAGCAAGGAGCGGTTCAACAAGAGGCTGAGCAAGTGCAGAATGACTGTTGAGTGTGCTTTTGGTCATTTAAAGGCCCGCTGGTGCTGCATATATCGGAGGCTGGACCTGGCCGATGACAATATTCCTATGCTTATAGCCACGTGCTGTACGCTCCGTAATATTTGTGAAGGGAAGGGTGAAAGCTTCACTCAGGGCTGGACTATTGAGGCTCAGCGCCTGGAGGCTGAATTTGAGCAGCCAGAGACCAAGCCTATTATAGGGGCGCAGCGCAGGGCCATAAGGATCAGGGATGCCTTGAGGCAGCAATTTGAAGCTGCAATCCACTAATATTTGTTGCTATGCTCGGGAGTGCAGTGTTTGTAATGCTAGGAGGTGATTGTGATTGGTGCAGACGATTCACTATGAAGGTTTAAGAAAATTGCCTGTTGCTTTGCAGGGCACTGTTTGATTTCAGTTAATGGAATAAAGATTGCTTTCAAACCAAAACAATTATTTTATTAAAAAACAACAACTGGAGGAGAGAGAGAAACAAAAAAAACCCATCAGCACTCTGAGGGATGTGGGAAAAGAGGGTCCCAGGAGGAAGTAGGGTCCCAGGACAGTTAAAGATTTGTGTATGTCCAGGTATCATATGCAACCTTGTCCTTTGGAGTCCAGTGCAGCGGGTACTGTACTTTAGCAGGGCTAAACTGCAGAGGGATAGGTGTTGAGTGTAGTGAGTACTGGGAGTCTGCAGGGCTGGACTGTGACAGGGCAGGAGTGGAATGCAGCGGGTACAGACTGGAGCCAGGAAGTTGATAAGAGTGCGTTGGCAGTGTCTGGGGGGCGCATGGGAAAGAGTTTTGCGACAGCGGCTGCAGGGGAGGGCGGGCATGGAGCTGCTCAGTTTGCAGTGTAGTAGCGCATGGAGTGTGTCTGCTTAGCGCTCCATAACTTTTAAGAGCCGCTCCGTGGCTTCGTTCTGGGGCGCTGTGTTCTCCTTTCGGTACCTCTTCTCGCTGTACCGCCACTCCTTCAATTCTTGTTTTTTGGCCACGGAGTGCATCATGACATCACTCAGAAGGTCCTCTTTAGTTCTTCATGGCCGCTCTCTAATTCTGTGCAGCCGTTCAGCCGGCAATAAAGAGGGAGGATGGGCTCTCATGGTCATATCTGTGAAGCCAAAATGCAACATTTTACAGAAGCGGTATTGTTTGCAACACACAGATCACTGATTCAGTGATTTAAAACAAAGCCAGTATTCACATACCTGTCACTAACTGGCTGACCCCAGGCAAGCACACGTGAGCCACAAGACCCCCAAAATGGTGAGTACCTGCAAGGGCAGGAGAAATCAGTGTTCCAGGACCATACTGTATACTGGGCACATGGCTATTGGGAGAACCAGCACTGTGTGGGGGGGCTTTATAATCATTACTGTCCCCACATTTTCCACAGGCTGTGTGCATTATAAGAGATATCTCACTGCTGAGGATAAGCAGGAAATCAAGGGAGGGTCTTCTCCAAGACCGTGGCTTCCACCCTGGCCCTTATGCGGCTCGCCTGTGTGCAGCAATGCCTCCCCCTCCCCAGTGCCGACAGAGAGGCTCAGGAAAGTTACCCTTAAATGGGGCAAGAAACAAAGCAGCTCTGCCAAAGAACCTCTGGCAGCGGATTGCCCAGTATCTCCATGAGAGTTTCGTGGAGATCTCTGAGACAGCTTCCCATGAAGTGAGGGAGTCAATCAACACCCTGTTTGGCCGCTCAGACTAGGCATGTGGTGGTACATGCATCATACAGACAACAAGCTGGCTTTCTGCAACCCTCCTTCCCCCAAACAACTCACTTCAGTGATTCCCAAAATCAAAGCCACTTACCAGGGGCCTCCTCTCCTGTTTGCGCTTTGCCAAGCTCCGATAGCTGTGACTGGCTAGCCTCCTCCGGGGTAGAGAAGTGCCCCTGGCTGCATGCATCTCTGACCTCCAAGTCATCCTCTGCCTCTGGGTCCCCCTCCACATCCTCGCCCAAGATTTCCTCTTCCTGTCTCGGTCCACTCTCGACTGACTCACAAGCCACCAAAGTATCCACAGTGGCCTTCACAGTGGAGGTGGGGTCACCCCGAGTATTGCGTCCAGCTCTTTGTAGAACCGGCAGCTCTTGGGCAGAGCACCAGAGCAGCGGTTTGCCTCCCGCGCTATGCGATAGGTGTTCCGCAGCTCCTTCACTTTGACCCTGCACTGCAGTGTGTCCCAGTCATGGCCCCTTTCTGTCATGTTGTGAAATCTGTCCGTAGGTATCATAATTCCTATGGCTGGAGCGCAGCTGGGACTGGACAGCCTCCTCTCCACAAATGCTGATGAGGTCCAGCAGCTCGGCATTGCTCCAAGCGGGGGATCACCTGGTGCGTGGAGCAGTCATGGTCACCTGGAAAGATGCGCTCAGACCGCTGCACACGTCACCTAGTAAACAGGAAGGAGACCTTAAAAATTCCCAAGCAATTTAAGGGGTGGGACTCACGGTTGGTCACCTCAGGGCAGGGCAGTAGAGTTCAAACCAATGACCAGAGAGGCG